AGGAATAAGAGAAGGAAGAAGCTCCTCCTCGACCACTGCCGGACTTCCGCCGGACCACCATTTGATGCCCTCATCTCCGTCGGACCACCGCCTGACGTCGTTGCTCTGCTGGACCACCACTTCAGGCCCTATGCTCCAACAGAAAACCACATGAGGCCTGAACTTCTGTCATACCACAATCTGAGGCCCAGACTTCTGCCGGACCACCACTTGAGGACCACAATCTGAGGCCCAGACTTCTGCCGGACCACCACTTGAGGCCCTGTGCTCCACTAGAACACCACCTGAGGCTCGAACTTTCGCCGGACCGTCGGACCACTACTTGAGGCCCTAAGCTCCACCAGGCTACCACTTGATGCCCAGAGTTCTCCCAGAATAATGCCCTTCAACTACTATCTTTTTGACATCGGTCTCCTGGCAACTACGATCTTTTTGACCACGGTCTCCTGCCGATTATGATCATTGTGATCTCTGTCGCCTACTATGATCCTTCCGACCTACATCGCCTGACAACGGTCTTTCTGACCTCGGTCTTTCTAACCTCGGTCTCCTACCAATTATGATCTTTCAGACCCATCTCTCCTGCCGACTACGGTCCTTCCGACCTATATCACCTACTATGGTCCTTCTGACCTCCATCACCAGACAACGATCTTTCTGGCATCCATCAGACGCTAAACTTTATATTTCTCTACTGCCGTGAATACTCTAGAACACAACAGTTTGGCGTCGTCTGTGAGAACGTGGTTCCCGACTGGGCGACAATTTTTACTCCAACCTCAAAAGGTCATTCATGTCAACTTCCTGACATCAACTATTGCTGCATTAATTTTATGGAATCAAATCCGGGGGGCGGGCAACCTTGACTCCAACTATGGTCAAGAAGATCCCTCTAATACTTTTCAAAATCAAGATGTTATATCAAAAAACTTTTAGCAAATATCAGGATGCTTCCGATAAATTTCAAACCACATATAGTTCATACATGGACTTTTTCTCCTTGGGCAGGGTCTTAATCTCAACCCCAAAAAAGATAGTAATGGTCTAAATATGTACCATTCTTCATATTTGATTCGGGATACACGTGGTATTTGCCCCTCCCAATCAAGACAATATCAATCCCAGGGGATTTGATTCGACCTATTTCACACAGGTTAATATTATCAAGCAAAGGCTCTGTCATACAACCTCATATAGGTCTTACATCCTTAGTGTATTCTTTTGACCTCTTCCACACAAGTTAACGTCATCGATCAAATGCTCTGACATATAAACTCAGATAGGTCTTTACATCCTTCGTGGATTCTTTTGACCTCTTCCACACAGATTAAACGTCATCGAGCAATGATCTGACATATAACCTCGGATAGGTTTTACATCTTTGGTGGATTCTCTCAACATCTTCCACACAGGCTAATGTCATTGAGCAAGGCTTTGACATACAACCATGGTTAGGTCTTATATCCTTGGTGGATTCTATTAACCTCTTCCACATAGGTTAACGTCATCGAGTAAGGCTCTAACATACAACCTCGGATAAGTCTTACATCATTGGTGGATTCTCTCGACCTCTTTCATATAGGTTAACATCATCGAGCAAAGGCTCTGACATATAATCTCAGATAGGTTTACATCCTTGGTGGATTCTCTTAACATTTTTCATACATATTAACGTTATCTAGCAAAGGCTCTGACATACAACATCGGATAAGTCTTACATCCTTAGTGAATTCTCTCGACCTCTTCCATATAGGTTAACGTCATCAAGCAACGCTCTGACATACAACATTTGATATGTCATATATCTTTGATGGAATCTATTAACCCATGCCAAACTTTCGTCGGACTTCTCCATAAAGTTAAAATTTTAACCGACGTCGAACTTCTGACCGTCGCTGAACTTTTGTTGGGCTTCTACTAGACGCCAAGCTTCTTCCCTCACTAAACTACTGCCCCTTCATCGAAATTCTACTCGACGCTTAGCTCCCTCCCATCACTGGACTTCTACCCATCATGAGACTTTTATCGGAATTATACCCGAAGATATACTTCTACTTGACGTCGGACTTCTGACTGCCATCAGACTACTACCCGTCATCGGACTTCTGTCCGTCGATGGGCTTTCGTTGATCTTCTACCCGATGATGTACTTTTACATGACGTCGAACTTCTTTATGTCGTCGGACTACTACTCGTCCTCGAACTTCTACCCGTCGATGGACTTTCGTCGGCCTTCTACCCGACGTTATACTTCTATCAGACGTCAGACTTCTGCATGCCGTTGGACTAGTACCCGTCGTTGGACTTCTGCCCGTCGATAGACTTTTGTTGGTCTTCTACTCGATGTTGTACTTCTATCAGACATCGGATTTCTGCCTGCCGTCGAACTACTACCCGTCGTCGGACTTTCGTCGATCTTCTACCAGAAGATGTACTTATAGCCGACGTCTGACTTCTACATGTCATCGGACTACTACCCGCCATTGGATTTCTATCCGTCGATGGAATTTCGTTGATCTTCTAGCTGACGTTGGACTTCTGCCTGCTACCGGACTACTACCCGTCGTCAGACTTCTTTCCGTCAATGGACTTTCATTGGTCTTCTACCTGATGTCGTACTTCTACCTGATGTTGAACTCCTGCTTATCGATGGATGTTCGTCAGGCTTATATCCGACATTGAATTTCTACCTGTCGCCGTACTTCTCCATGACGTCAGAATTCTACCAGACGTTGAATTTATGCATATCATTAGACTTTTACTCGACGCCAAATTTCCACACTTAGTCGGACTTATGTCCGTCACAAGACTCCTACCCGACGTTGGATTTCTGCCTGTCAATAGTCTTTTCAACCTCCCTCCTTACAACGGTCTCTCCGACCTCCATCGCCAACCAACTAACATCAAAACTCTACAGGATTTCTCAAAGAAAGGAGGGAAAAGGGAGAATCTCCGGTCCTTCTTACATAGAGAGGGGCCTTGGGCCTGGACGAGGGATACCACCCATACAGGACCAAGGCAAGACCTCAATTGAAATTATGGAGGGATAAGAGAAGGTGCAAGAATTTCTTAACCCCAAGGGGAGTATTTATATGTAAGAGGGGGAGTTGGAGAAGTTGAGGGAGTTAAGGAAGTTATAAAAAAAAACTCTCTCATTAAAAAAAAAAATTATTATGTGGGCGGTTTACCAAAACTGCCTAGGATGCGGTTTAGAAAAAGAAAAAAAATAATAACTGTTCATAAAAAGAAAACAAGTAATAATAATTCTGTTTCGGGCAATTTCTTAAACCACGCCCTAATAGGAGGTTAAGAGCCGCATAATGCGGCTCTATTTAAAAAAAAAATACAAAAATTTTTGAAACTTTGGAGCCGTATTTCAATTGGAGAGCATGGGCAAAAAAAGTTTTAATTTTTTATTCTCATGCCATTCATATAGTTATGGAAATATATTTTTATGATAATGGAAAGAGAATTTTTATGATATCTATAAAAGAATTTGATTATATATATATATATATATATATATATATATATATATATATATAAACACACACAATACAAATTATCGATGCATATATTTTCGGACTCCTAGAGCTTTGACGTCCGAAAATAGGGGGGCAACTGACACGTCATCATGAAAACTCTTGGTCGGGCACGAATCTCGGCGCAAAAATCAAGTTGGAAACTTCATAAATCAAATTCGGAAGCACCTGAACTTCGATTTCAGTGAGCTTGTAGTCAAATTGAGCGTCTCAAAAATACGAACCCAACGACATCAAATTCAACTCGATCCGATCCCAAATAAGCCCAAATCAAGCCCCCGAAGTGCTGTTGGAAAGCTCGTACCATAATTTGAGTTACAAAATGGTGTCCGATTTTAACGAGCTTATAGTTGAATCGAGTGGCTCGACGAGACGAATCCAACGAGCCCAAGATCGCCGAATTCCGACATCACAAAGGCCTTTAAATGTCCAACTAACGGTGCACGATCGAAAGATTTAATATCAGCCGTCCATTCGACCACTCCATATTTGCCCCAGATCTCACGCCTATTTACAAGCCATGCCACTCCATAAAAACTATAAATAGAGCCCTCATTCCTCACAAGAGACTCAAGCAAGAAGAAGGGAAGAAGAAGAGAAGGAGAAGGAGAATCAGCTCCTCAACCACCGCCGGAGTTCTTCCCGCCGCCTGAATAAAGCCGAAATTCTGCCGGTTTTTAGCAGACGCCGGAACTCTGCACAACTTTCTAACTAAATTTCAATTTAGGAGAAACTCATTCTAATCTGATCGTCCTAACTTGTGGGACGAATCAGCCTTTTGTATCTCAAACGACACTAGTGGAACTTTTCAATTGGGCGCGACCTCGTGGTTTTTCCCCTTTTCAGGATTTTCCACGTAAAAATTATGGTGTTCTTTTATCTTCTATTTGTGTGTGCTGAATATTCGTACAACGCTAGGACGTAAAATTACAAACTCTACCGCTGCGTATATTCTAGCCCGCAACAATCCCGAAATTCACTAAACCCTAATTCACAGGGAAAATTATTCAGTGAGGAATACGAGCATGTTCGGAGATGAATCCGGACGTGTCACATCATCAGGGCCAACTACATCCGATAATATGACATGTCCGGATTCATCTCCAAATACATTTAATTTCTGCATAGAATAATCGAAATCCTACCCCGTACGAGATTTGCTCTTCGTCCGGTGACAAGGGTGCACCTGACAACTCCACGCCTTAATGATAACGTCTCAATCCTGAGCCCGATCCAATGAAGCTTTGCTATAACTACTAATTCAGCTTAATTTAACACTAACTAAATTATAAAACAAGAAATTGGACCTCGCATTCCAACTCATAAATAGCCGCGTGCACACAGAATTTGTGCCGACGGAGCGAAGGTGGCGAGCGGTGGCTATTTTGCTGGGTGACGTTATTAATTCCGTCTATGGTTTCCATTAGTTTCGGAGTGCTCATTCTAGGGTTTCTTTTATCCCTAATTCCGCTAATCACCAATCTCTACCATTTGCGGCCCGTCCTCTCCAACAAGCTTTAGGTCGTCTGAAGCACAAACGCCGTGGAGTGTACGTCGTCTTCTTCCTGTCATTGCCGCCGCTTTCGCTGCCTTCGCTGCTAACTCTTTTGTTTGTTTCCACCAGCCGGTGTGGGGAGAGGAGGAGGTGTTTTGAGTTGTGAGATGCTAGACTGAGAAAGCTCAGATTTGAGGGTCAGTGATTGTTTCGAGGAAGAAAGAAATACTGTTTCCCTTCACGCTATTAAAGGTGAGATTCGTTGGTTCTTCTGCCTTTTTTTTTTGGTTATCATGTTTTGGATTGGTTTTGATGGGATTATTGCTTTTCATTTATTTTTTATTTTTTATTTTAGAAGTTTTTTTTTTGTTTTTTTTTGTTTTTGTTGGATGCCTTTTAATTTGTTTCGGAAGGTTTTAAATTTCCCTTCTATTAATTGTGTTTCCTTTTGAGGAGGAGCTTTTGAGCTGTTTACAACTAAATATTTCGTCTCAGAAATCATTTTTCTTTGATGCGCATATTTTCTTGCTTTCCTCGTGTAGGCTATCTGTATTATTTAACAGTGGACTGCTATCATCATTGGTTTGCTCTTCATATTTTTAGTTGAATCTCTGTCGTCCGTTTCTGATTTTTTTTTTTTTTTTTGATAAATTTTTCTTCTTAAGGTTGGGTGCATTGAGAGTTATGAGATTTTATGACTTATGCTACTCTGGTCTCTGGAGTTTGATATCTAGAAGGATTCTTCCTCACTTTCATGGTTAAGATGCCCACATCATTATTTCCAAAGCAAAAGGGTTTGCAGACGTCTTCAGAACTTTTGGGGCGTAGCAGGAATGTTATTTTTGGCAGGACTTGGTTGTTCTTGTCGCAACCATTCTCGACTATTGGCCTTTTCCCTCAGTTTGGTGCCAATGCTGTGAAAAATGTGCATACAATTGATCAGAGAGCAATGTTTTCTGTTATTGGAACAATATCTCGCAAGTTTTTTACTCCTTCAGTGACCGACTTTCTTTGTCAATCCTGTGCAAAGCAAATTGACATCCTGCTCTCCGAGACCACAAAAAAATCTTTATTCACTGCATTCCAGCGAAATGCAATGTCTGCTTGTAGTTATGTAACAGGCAGAACGGAATCAGTTTCCCATAATCTTGGCCTCGGAGAAAAGACTAATGGGCATGCACATGGTATGATTCGAAGTGGTATTTGCAATTTTCACAACGGTCTTGATCATTACAGAATTATCAATGGCAGCCTACATAATGAAGTAGCAGGCGGTAGGAAATTGAGTTACTGGTGTGCATCGTCTGATGCTACTGAATTTTATTCAAAATTTGTGCCATGCTTTTCATTATGGAAAAAGGACTTTCGGCTGGCTTGTACTGCTCAATATTCTACAGGAGCTGCTCGGAATGTTTCTTTTGATGGCGTGCTACAGGACGAGCAGCTTGACAGCTCTGTAGTTGAGCAAAACAGGTATTTATATTTCTCATCCTTTTTTTTTTTGAAACATGTTAGTTTGGCAATATACATGTGTATATTGAATGTCAAATGCATTAGTGTAGTGGGATATGAAGTTTAGCATTGATTTTGAAGCAAGTGGGATTGTAAAACACAGTTCCTTTTTCCGAGCTTTGACTTATTTATTTGGTGAAACTTTTAAGGTGGATCATGTCTAAAACCATAAAATGATATTGCATCGTAAAGTTATGTTTCTACAATGGGGCTTTTTAAAGGCCTTATGTTGACTCCACACACTGAAAATGATTTTCCATGATATATTGTTTCATGTCATGCCTGATATGAGGATATATTTATTGAGGGAACTAATGTGCTGGCCCAACCCTGTTACAACTCCTGAAAAAGTCCCATACAAAGATGGGAGGTCTTGATCAACTATGACTTATTTCCTGGTCAGACAATAACCTTTTAGACTAGTTTAAGTCACAAATATTCTAATTGATTAGCTTATTTGATTGTGAGGGAATTAAGAAGTTTCTTAATCAAGAGGGAGTTGTTTAGGAAGGTTCTCACTTAAAGGGAATTAATTAGGAGATATTTCCTAATTGAAAATAATAGGTTTTGGGGCTGATTTGGAGGAGATTAATTAGGAAATGTTTCTTAATTGAGTAGGGCAGATTTTGTGGCTGATTTGGAGGGGATTAATTAGGAAATATTTTCTAATTGAAGTGGACATATTTGGGGGTTGATCTGAGAGAGAAATAATTAAGAAAATAGGGTAGATTTGGGAGGGAATTAGAGGAGATCTGTTCGGGTATTTGTTGTTTATTGTTTGCTTTAAATAGGTGATTTTCCTAGGGTTAGGGGTATGGGTTGTTTGCTGAAATTAGATTGTTCTTAGAGTGTTTGGGCTCTAGCCGGCGGCTAGAGATTTGGGAGAGCTGGATCTTCCTCTCAAATTGAAGATCCACTTGTATCTTGCCTTTTCTTTCATAAAACTTGTAAAAAAAAAGTGTTTCTGTGTTTTATTCCTGATTTTCTTGTCATTGGTTTTCTGAAATTGTTGAAATAATTTCAGCCAAGGCTTTTCCTAAATTTCTACAAGCACTTCCTATCATATTGGTTTCAACTTTCATAGCTGTTCGATTCGGGCACTCATGGCTAGAAGAAAAGTAGTAGTGGAAGGGTAGATCGGTCAATTGAAATAAGATTGTGTAGAAAAGACTTCAGATTTTAAAAAGCTATTTCCAGCCATCCATGAGAAGATCGATGAGAAGTTTGTCATCATGGAGGAGATGATGAGAAAGGTGCTCGAGTTCCAAACCAAATCTCTCATTGATGCATTCATTTCCTTAAAATATTACATACCTGAAATTGAGATTATATATGTTGAGGTATTAATTAGAGCTATGGTGTCTGTGAAGTTTAGAGAATTGGAGAGGGAAAAAGCTTATTTTTATTATACAAAATTATCTCTATTTATAGATATATACATGATATCTTAATAAAGAAATAAATAATTACAGAATCATGCATAATTGTCCTAATATAATTGATGAATTATGAGAATTGGAGAGGAAAAGTTTTTTTTATTACATGATTTCTCCTCTATTTATAGATCTATACAAGATACATTAATATAGAAACAGATAATTACAAAATAATTCTAATGTAATCCTTCCTAAATCAGCAGCTCGAATATGAAAAGAGTTCTGGTGTGAGTCGTGCGTCCCACGGATTGAACATTATAGCTGTTGGATTGGTTTGCTCTTTGAAATGATGGATTTTGACACTCCCCCTCAAGTTGGGAAGTATGTATCTGTCATTCCCAGCTTGGTTATCATTATGAGAAAGACAGCGTGATCCACTTCTTTGGTAAGGGTATCTGCAAGTTGATCTTTTGTTGGTACATGGTTGATACATACGAGTCCACTCTCCAATTTTTCTTTTATAAAATGTCGGTCAACTTCTATGTGCTTGGTCCTGTTATGTTGGATTGGATTGTGAGCTATGCTTATTGCTGATTTGTTGTCACAATATAATTTTATGGGTTTGTCCCATTTGATCTTCAGATCTTCCAAAATTATTTTTATCTATAGGACCTCACATATTCCCAGGGCCATAGCTCTATATTCTGCTTCTGCATTGGATCTTGCCACCACGTTTTGCTTCTTGCTTCTCCATGTGTTTAGGTTTCCTCCAAGGAATGTGCAATACCAAGAAGTAGATCTTCTGACCATTGGTGATCCTGCATAATCCGCGTTGGTGTATTCCTCTAGGGTTATTTCTTGGTCTCTTCTAAAGAGAATCTTTTTTTCTGGGTTACCTTTAAGGTAGTGCAGTATTCTATCTACTGCTTGCATATGAACCTATTTTGAATTTTGCATAAACTGACTGACCATACTTACAACAAACGCTATATCTGGTATGGTGTGGGAAAGGTAGATTAATTTTCCTACAAGTCTCTGGTAGGCCCCTTTTTCTACATCTTGATCTTCTCTTGCTTCCCCTATTTTAAGATTAGGTTCTACTAGTGTCGGTGCTGGTTTAATCTAGTTTACCTATTTTTTTTAGAAGATCTTTAATGTATTTTTGTTGTGAAATGAAGATTCATTTACTGGAGTGAGCTACCTTAATTCCAAGAAAGTATTTTAGCTTACTATGTTCTTTAATATCAAATTCCTTTGTAAGGTTTTTCCTTAGACTTTCTTTCTCTTTTTCATTATTTCTAGTTAAGATAATATCATCTACATAGACCAGTAGTATGGTAACTTCCCACGAGTCTAAGTGTTTAAAGAATAGTGTATGATCCCCTTGACTTTGTTTATACCCATTAAGAAGCATGAATTTTGAGAATATTTCGAACTAGGGCCTTGGCGATTGTTTGAGCCCATGTAGAGCCATTTTTAATCTGCACACCTTGTTACCTCCGAATTTTTACTTAAACCCTAATGCTATTTCCATAAATATTTCTTCCTCCAGATCCCCATGTAGGAATGCATTTTTTACATCTAATTGTTCCAAATGCCAGTTGTACTTGGCTGCTAATGAGAGTAGTATTCTGATAGTGTTCATCTTTGCTACCAGTGCAAAGATTTCTTGGTAGTCAATGTCATATGTCTGAGCATACCCTTTTGCAACTAGTCTTGCCTTGTATCTTTCCAGTGTGCCATCAGCTTTGTATTTTATAGAGAACACCCATTTGCGGCCGACTTGTTTTTTTCCTATTGGTAAATTGATCTCCCATGTATTGTTCTTTTATAGGGCCTACATTTCATATTTCATGGTATTTTTTTAATTTTTATCAGATAAGGCCTATTCTTAGAAATATGAATATATTCTAGTCATCTAGTGTAACCAGGAAATTTTTGTGTGAGGATGAGAAGTTGTTGAAGGATATAGAGTTGGTTATAGGATATAAGGGAGGTGGTGAGCTTACCTTCCACGAGATGATTTAGATCCTTGGATCTGCTTTGGAGCATTACTCAGCTTGTACGCCAGGATAAACCTTCCCAAATCTAATGACGGCTTTGCCATTTGTTTCCCTATCTTGGGTTTTGGGTTGGATTGGTTTGAGGTGGTGGAAGGTTAAGAGGTGCTAGTTCATTTCCCTAATCTTCCTCAAGTTCAGCCTCCCCCTGAAGATGAGATTTTGAAAAATAGAAATTTTGTTCATCAAAGGTAACATCAATAGAGACAAGGACCGGTCCAGCCGGTCCAGGCGGGACCGGCCAAGTCGCGAAACAGGCGATCTGTTCGCCTGGGCGGAGGCCGCGCGCACCGCGTGCCTTGCGGGAGCCGAATAGGAAGCTTTTTTGGGAAAATTAAGAGGGGAATTTGAATGTAGGGACTGTTTAGGGATTTCCTTTTGATTTGTATGCATTAAATAGTAGATTTTCCTAGGGTTTGATCATCTTGAATTTGGCTGAAATTTGAGATCTCTTAGATTTAGGTTTTCTTTGGGCTCTAACGGCGTCTAGAGATTTGGGAGAGATCGATCCTCCTCTCGAATTGAGGATCAATTGTATCTTTGTTGTTTTATTCATCTACTAATGAAATATAAGAGTTTTTCTTCGTTTTTTCTCAGATTTCTCGTGTAACTCCTGTTTTTTCTCTGTTTTTGGGCTGTTTCCTGCTGTGGACAACAATAAATCTGCTGGAGTTTACTGATTTTGGCTAGGAACACTTGTGAATCCAAGTGTTTCCTATCAGTTTGTCTTGTGGGTGGATGCTAACAATTATAACATTTTTTGATAGCTGAATAACCAACAAAGATGCATTTGAGTGCTCTTGAATCAAGTTTTCCTTTATCCTAGCTATGAATATGAATATGAGCAGTGCGCCCAAAGATTCTGGGTGTAAGATTATGATGGGTTCGAAACGGGGTAAAATGAGGACAAAATCTCAATTGGAGTTTTGAGTCCTAGGGTTGTTGAAGGTAGTTGGTTTATGATAAGTTGCAGTTAGGAGGGCCGTCCTCCCAATAGGATTTGGGTGTATTGTAGTGAAATAAGAAAGCTCGGGTGGAGGCTAGAAGGTGACCGTTTTTTCTCTCTACAGTCCCATTTTGTTGTGGGGTGTGAACATATGACTTATGTATGATCCCTTCACTTTGGAAGTAGGAGAAAGGGTTTTGGTTGAAATAGTATTTAGCATTATCAGAGCGAAATCTCCTTATTTTTACCCTGAATTGATTTTTGATAAGGGTATAAAAAATGGGAAGAATAATACTAACATCAGATTTATTTTTGAGGAAATAGATCCAAGAGACTCTAGTGCAATCATCAATGAATGATACAAACTATTGTGCCTCAGAGATATTGGGGATTTTTTAGGGTCCCATATATCACTCTGAATAAGGTAGAAAGGGATATCACATCTCTCATTTTTATTTGGGAAGGAAGTTCTTTTATATTTAGCTAACTCACAGGTTTCACAATGAAAATCTTTATTTTTTAATTTCTGAAAAAGTTGTCGATACATATGTCTTAGGACATCAAAAGATGTGTGTCCTAATCTATAATGATGAAGCCAAATAGTGGAATTCTTATCAATTAGGGATAACATAGAGCATCTATTTTTACTTTGGTTTAGTCTTTCCAGGTAGTACAATCCTGCTTTCTCCTTAGCAAGTCCAATCTTCTTACCCGATCACAGATGAGAGAAATGGTTTCGTTAAGTGGTGATGTCTCCTCTTTGCCGAGGATCTGGACTCTAATCTGATCAAATTATGCATTTAGTCCTGCAAGAAAACCATAAACTCTATCATTTTTAGTAAAGTTCTTTAGGATCACAGCATCTTCCGGACATCTGGTTTCTATTCATCTGTAGTGATCAAGTTCTTGCCATAGATTTTGTAGAAGGGTGGCATACTTCGTCACGATCTTATTCCCTTGCTTTGGGCTTCCAACTTTGACTTTAATTTTAAAGATTTGAGCCGCATCATGAGTTTTGGAGAAAGTCTGCTTGGCAGCATCCCATATGTCATTTGCAGTGGAAAGGAATATAAATGTATCGTTAATTTCTGGAGTTATGGAATTCCACAACCATGACATAATCATGGAATTTGCTTCATCCCATGCCCCAAAATTAGGATCTCCTCCTTTTGGTCCTCCTCCAAGGAGGTGAATATGTGATGTATTTTTCCTTTTCCTTTTAAGTAGGTCTTCACAAATTGAGATCACTTTAAGTAATTCTTCCCATTTAGTCGATAGGAAGGTTGCTTGCTTTGGAGGTCACCCCATCCTTCTTGGTGCATCATAGGATCCTCATATTGGTCAGTGCTTTGGGAGGAATTAATTTATGACATTTTTGTGTCAAATGATAATAATGAAGACTATCTGTACGATCTTGGTTAATAAATCGAACCTAGCCGAGTCTTTAAAAGACTTAGTTCGGATAGTAGCTAGGGCGCAGGCCTTCTACAACAACATTGGCACAGCTCCGCTCCGTCGTCTGTCAGTAAGGGGCTCCGTCTGCGGCAAGGGTTTATCTGGCATCTATCGTTGCAAAGCTCCGTTGGCGAGGTTTCTTCTTCCTTTGGCTAGGCTCCGTCCGTTTCTGCTTATCCGAGCAAGATAGGGAAATCGGAGGAGCGTCTGAGCAACCGTCTTCAAGCTGTTTGTTCTTGTTTTTCGATGTCCGAGAGAACGTCTTCTCCCAAGCGGCTTCTTCTGTTCCCGAGTGATCGTTTTCTCCTATGCCGCTTCTTCCTAAGCTTGACCGAGAGATATGGCTAGGGTGACCGAGAGTCGATCGGCCCTTTTTGCGTCGAGGCTTCAGTTTGCCTTCCGCTAGGTTCCATTGGCTTCGGTAAGACATCTTCCCGCTTGCTCGGCTTCCGATGACTTCCTCTTTACTTCGTTCTTGTCTCTAATACCATGTTGAACTTTGAGAATCAGAGAGGAAAAGCTTTTTTTATTACATGATTTCTCCTCTATTTATAGATCTATATAAGATACCTTAATATGGAAACAAATAATTACAAAATAATTATAGTATAATCCTTCCTAAATCAGCAGCTCGAATATGGAAAGAGTTCTGGCGTGAGTCATGCGTCCCACGGATTGAGCACTGTAGCCGTTGGATTGTTTTGCTCTTTGAAAGGCTGGATTTTGACAATAATCCTTCACGAATCAGCAACCCAAATATGGAAGGTGATCGACGTGATCCATGCGAGCCTTTCACGGATACCCATCCTGGCCGTACGATTGAGATGTTAACACTCCCCCTCAAGCTGGAGAATACAAATCTTTTATTTCCATGTTGGTAATTAGTTCTAGAAAAGTAGAGTTATCAAGTTCCATGATGCACCATAGAGTTATCCATTTATTTAAAACTTTGGGAGAAATTTGCTTCAGATATTGCAGCGGCAAATGATAGTGATGAAGGTTATATGAATCAAGCCTGGAATGTGCAGGGCATCAATGAAGGTTGTGTTGAATGTGTTGTATAGTAGCCCTCAAGATATCAGAAATAGCAATAAAATCTGGTGGTGGGATAGCATAAAAGTGGATTAATTATCTTTCGGTTCTTTCTCCCTCTCAATTCTCAAGAGAAGGCCGACAATGAAGGCACGATAGTAGAAAGAAAAAAATGTTTTTAGGGTTGCAACAAACTTTAGGATTAGCGGCAGAAAAAAGGTCTCAAGCGGTTCAAAACTCAACACACAAATCTCCTCATGTCAGATCGAGCCAACTTTCAACCCAATGCAAATCAGTGATCTGACTCCACCCAAATCGATACCGTACAGGCGCACACGAGGCCTCTGATTCCTCTAGTTTGATTGTAGAAATGAGTGCAAGTCTTGTACTCTTGTTTGTCTCGCCCTAGACCCTCACGAGAGGAAACTCTCAGCTCTTTTCATACGCACACAAGAGGAGGTATTGTGCTTGAATTCTCTTGCCGGTCTTGGACGCATGAAGGAAGTAGGACCAATATTCATTAGAATTCTAACAATGAAGGCCTGCAGAATGATCATTATTCATCAGAATTCTGACAATGGAGGTTGGTGGTGGGAACCTATATTCTTTAGATTTCCAGCAATGAAGGCTGGTGGTGGGAACTTGTATTACTCAGAATTTTGTTAATGTAGGCAGGTGGTGGGAACTTGTATTCCTCAAAATTCTAGTAATGAAGGTTGGTGGTGGGAACCTATATTTCTCATAATTATGGCAATGAAGGCCGATGTTGGGAATATGTATTCCTCATAATTCCTGCAATGAATGTTGGTGGTGGTACGCACGAATTATCTCTTTAGGCTCTGATGCCATGTTAAATTCAGAGAATTTAAAAAGAAAAAAAGGCTAATTTTATGATACAAAACTATTCCTATTTATAGATCTATACATGATATCTTAATAAAGATACAAATAATCCATAATTGCCCTAATATAATGCTTCTTAAACCAGTCACCCAAATATGGAAGGAGATCGACATGATCCATGTGAGCCTTCCACGAATTCCTATCCTGGCCTGGGATAAAGTGTCAATGGACGGCTGGGATTTAACAGAGATTGGCGTGCCCACGGATTCTCATCCTGACCATGGGATCAAGTGTCAAGGGATGGTTGGGAGTCGTGTTCAACTTCATGGTTTTCAATTTTATAAATCATCGATTTGGATTAAGGTTTTGCATGATTGGAAGATCACTAAAGAAGATTGCTTTATTATTTATTAGTGAGCTATGTATCTAGTTTTACAGTTCATTTTTAAAAAAATAGGTTATCATTAATTGTTCATGCACTATGTGAAATGCTCAAAACATTGGGTTCATCATGATTAGGGTCAATTTTTATGCTTATATAGATGAACCGTGCATGTTGGATTTAGCTTGGTCCTGTATATTTGCCACACGCGACCATGCAACATAATAATTTATGGTAGATAAATTTCAGCTCCATCAGAGTTTATTTATTTATTTATTATTGTCTCTTGTTTATTTTCTCTTGTCCGAACTTACAGGATAAGAGATGACTATATTCTGTGTAAACTGCTACTAATGCTAAATGCTGATTTGGTTCAACTTAAAGCAGTCTCTTGCAGAAAACACGAACAAAGTTTCAATTTCTGTGGAGAGTCCTGAACCATTGGAGGGTTTTTGTTCTTTAAAGTGACTGTTGTTTTGTTTATATTTATTTTTCCCTGTTATTGTTTTCCGACTTCTATTTATATTTCAAATGATCAATCTTGTAGGCTTCATATATTTTTTTACATCTAGCGACTCCCAACATGCATATTTAACCATTTCACCATGTGGGTCCATTATGTGTTTCCTATGGAACTTGCTGTTGAATTATTGATCGACCATTAAAGTACCGACCTCTTTTTCTCTCCTCTTTGTTTCTTTTGGAGAGTTCTTACATAGTAATTAACTACTACAGGAATGCCAAAAAAAATACTTTATTTGTAATTTTGGCTTAGATAAATGCTAGTTACATTCATAATGTGTATTAGACTTCTCCTCACTGAGATCCTCTACCCATTTTATCAGATAAAATTTGCTTAATGATACTAAGAATCTTTAAGTTCTACTCAAGAAATATATTTGATCATTGCTTTTTGGCTTTCTAGCTGTATTTAAGCATCAAAGGAGATTCTAAAGCCTTGGATATTTTTATGTCTAATTATTAGATATTTTCATTTTCTTAGGAGCTCACTGCCTTCTGATTTATATATAATTAACCGACCCAGATCTTAAAATTATTAATCGAAATGTGGGCCCCTGTTCATTTACTATTTGCTAACTTTTTCATTATTATCTATGCTCCCTCAAAATAACCAATGTCCTGCTCTTTGATGAATTTACAGAACTTGTCATTCTAACCATTGAGTTCCTAAATTAAACTTATTTAAGATACACATATAATACCTTTTGAAATCAAGCAAATTACATATTTTTCTTCTACCCAAATAACTTTATATTGAGTGATCCGATATTATACCTACAAGTTTGAACTGTTTTCCACAGGAAGTCACTCGGGGATAGATCCTTGAAGCTGCTTTCTGGTTCATGCTATTTTCCACACCCAGATAAGGAAGCAACCGGAGGAGAAGATGCACATTTCTTATGTGATGATGAGCAAGTAATTGGAGTTGCAGATGGTGTTGGTGGCTGGGCAGATCTTGGTGTTGATGCTGGACAATATGCTAAAGAACTTATGTCAAATGCTGTATCTGCAATACAAGATGAACCAAAGGGGCTGATCAATCCTTTGAGGGTGTTAGAGAAAGCCTACTCTCGTACTAAAGCTAAGGGATCATCAACAGCTTGCATTATTGCTCTCACCAATCAAGTTAGCTGAATTTTTATTTCAATGCTTTAGCATTAACTGGCTATTACCTTTTTTTTAACCCCGACAGTAAATTCTAGTGTTCAATGGATGCCACATTAGTTGTTTAAAACAAGTTTCATTGACAATATAGACGTGTGGATGAATGCCTTTTGATTTGGTAATAATTAGAGCATAATGAAGCACAAACACTTTTAGTGGTCTCCATTTTCTAAAGAAATATTCTGACACTACTTGGATCACTCCTTAAAGCTTCCTGGAAATATCTTTGCATATCATGAACATGTGATTTACCTGTTGCAAAAGAACTGTCATTTTAAATAAGAGAATTATGATTTTACTTTTACTTTTTTAGAATTCTAAATAACTATGCAGTGATTATATATATATATACATACCACTCAATCACCCCTATGATCATAACTCCTATAACCAACTAAAGTTTCAATGCTTAGGTAAATGATGTTGTGGCATGTTATTATTATGCCTGCGAAAGACATTATACTTTTAGTGTGTACTGGTTTTTAACAGATATATACATGTATAATTTATGTATACAAGCTACATTTTTTTATACCTGTGCGGACATGCTAGTCTATATAGATGGAGTTTCTCTGTGGGTAGGGATCCTTGTATCCTACTGACTCATTTCAACCTATCCACCTTGTGATTTATTGCATGTCATATCAAAACCATTTACATTTCTGTATATTTTGTGTAATGTATCCTAAGTAGCCGGCTTATGTGTTTACTATGGAGTGTTTGGTGATGACCGCCTATATGGAATTTTTTACTGTCTTTTCATAGTAACACTTGTTTTATCAAAGCAGCTGCTTCATATCAACTAAAGCGTCCCAAGAATTTTAGTTCATTTTAAGAAACCTATGATTGCTTTATAAAGTATGTAAAATATTTTTGTCCTGATTAAAATATTGTAAATATTCTTTATTCTACTAACTTTTACTTTGTCCACTCTTTTACTTAGGGGATTCATGCTGTCAATCTTGGGGATAGTGGATTTATAGTTGTCAGAGAGGGTTGCACTATCTTTCGTTCTCCGGTTCAACAACATGATTTCAATTTTACTTACCAACTTGAGAGTGAAAATGGCAGTGATCTTCCTAGTTCGGCTCAGGTTAGTTGCTATGCCATTTTATACTCGCTTTCTTGTGTTTCCATTAAGAGTAAATGATTGAATTGGTCCTCTTTAACTTTTTCTGAAGGATAGAAGTACTAATTTGATCCATTGACTTCTTTATTTTGAATCAAATTAGTTCTTACATGGGATCATTTAGGTCCCCATTTTAAAAAGTCAAGGGACAAAAATGGGGCTTTTAAACAATTGGGAGCCATTTTGATATTTCATAAAAAAGTCCAAAGATTTTTTTGATCATTATCTCTTTCCATAAGCGCTGCTCACTATAACTGATATTTCAATTTCTTTAACAAGTCATAGTTCCGTTCAGATTTAGCAAAAAGTTGTCGGTTTTTGTAAATGCTTGCATCTTTCTATGTTGCCGTGGTCCTAATATTTCTGGTCATTTATACTTTTTTTTTCGAAGAATGTTAACAAGATTGAAGAATTCGCTGGTGCATTGATGTATCCTGTCTCTGTAGTATTAATAGTTGGCCAAGCCTTCTATAAATCTATCCATTAACATATGTATAAACCCAGTGGGTTGTCGTGAAACTATTTCTTTCATATTTTTGCCTTAATATCTATACTACTATTATAAAAATCAAGTAATCAACTGAGTTTCTTCCCAAACAAATCCTACCCTTCCATTTTAATTATTTAAATAAAATCTTGGCCTTTGATTTTATTACATTATTATGATAAATTGATAAATTTAATTATAATTAATATATAATTAATTTTAATTTGGTATTATTTTATGGCTAAATTAAGCAAATAAATTTTCGGTTATCCCTTTGTATTCGCCCATGACTTCGGCCAGCCCTTCATATTCACACCTAAATTCTTTTTGGATAATTTTCATTTAGCAGAACAAATAAATTTTTTATTAGTTAATAAAAGCTGGTTAGGCACTAATAATTTTCCTCTTAGTTAAAAAGTCAGTTATGCCCTAATAAATTTACTATTAGTTAATAAAAGACGGTCACACCCTACCCTTCATATTTGTGTGCTATTGTTCGCCTTTACCTAGCTTTTCTTCTTTCCCGTTTCCGCCATCTTCTCCAGTAGCTTATATGTCAGCCTCATCAACTAAGTTAATTTTCTCGGCATCTTAAACTTTCGGTTGTCGTAACATTATAACTCCTATGATTACATTTCGGAGTGTTTAACTTCTCAGTTAAATGTTTTTCCCTCTCTATCATATGTACTTCTGTTCTCCCTCTAATCACCTGATATTAAATCGTTTTTTTGGCATTTACACCTCAATGCCACTTCGCATTCCACTTCGCCGCCAAATCACATTCAACTTCTTGCACCATGAGTAAAACGGTTGAACTTTATTCCAGTTGGAATCTCCATTAGAGTTCAATAAAACCGATAAATTTCTTACATTTGAAACGAAATTTACATCTACCAAAAGACTCTAACGAGTTTTTCATAAGCTATGCCTTGATTTCCATAATTGAGCTCTCTACTCTTCTTGTTTAAAAAAACAGATAATATTTTTATAAATTTATGTTTGCATGTGCGCTGATTGTTTTTTTAAAGTTTCATGATGATATTTTTTTATTGCTTTTGCTACTTTTATTGTGGTAGTGGATAGAAAATATTCATTCTGCTATGATTCTATAAGTTGTAATGTGGAAATTGGTGCCCTCATTTGATTCATGAGCTTGCTTGGCTTCTTCAACTGTTAGAACAATGATTTAAGTTTTCTTTGTTGGTATTAATGAGAGGGGCAACCATTTGGCTGTAGAATGGAGTGACTTTAGTATGTAATAGGTATTTGAAAGTTTTGCAATTGAAAAGGGGTGTGACCTTCTCAATTATAGTTGAATGACGATAAGATCTACATCATTAGGATTCATTTGGTTGATTGCAGATGTAAATATGCTGATAAGACCTTCTCAAATATATTTTGTTATTATTAGTAGCTGTGTAACACTGACCATACATCCAAGAATTTTCAATTATAAAAAGCAGTTGTAGATGGACCTTAGTTCAAATTTTTTTGTATTTGTTATAGAAATTCTTAGAAATGATATTCGAAGTTAGGAGCCTAGATGTATGATTTTTGCATATATATATATATATATATATATATATATATATATATTAGTTTTTTTGTTCAATCAATTTTATTAGAAATAAAGTGCTACCTATAAATGAATTTATGATAGAATTGAGAATCTTAGATGTATCATTTAGAAGAATGGAGATATATATTAAGACATCACCAATAGAGTTGAGGGGTACTTAAATTGGAGAAATGCCTCAAAAGTATTATGTGATAAGAGGATATCATGGAGATTTAAGGATAAATGTTATAAAATTACAATTAAGCTGATGATTTTATATGAGTTTAAAAGTTGGATATTAAAAAATCATTGATATCTAAGTTGAGGGTGGTAGAAATGTGAATGCTAAGATTGATGTGTGACAAAACTATTGAGGTTAAATTAAAAAATTAGTATATATTGGAGTAGCAGTTGGAGTAAAATCTATTGAAATAAGATTATTGAAAATAGACTTAAATGATTTGGGTATGTATATCAATAATGCATCTATGAGATGAGCAGATAATTTTAGTTTGAGGAGGATTAGGAAGGAAACATAGTAGACAATATATATGTATTGCTTCTTTTACTAGATTATCATTGAAATCGGATTTATATTGGATTTTATGCTTGGGCTTGGAATTTTCTTGGTCTCTTCATTTTCTGGAAAATATTAGTGAATTACTGAAATCATGTGGCTCCAGCAAACAATGGCAACGTATATCCCACTTTTGCATGCATAAGAGTTCATTCTCTAGTTATTTTTTCAACAGGCAGTGATTCATCAAGAAACCTCTTTTCCTCAAAAGAAATCATAAATCTTAAAAGCTTATTATAAAGGACGACGCGCTTTTGGTTCTGGTAATGTGGATTACATAATGTGATTGATTTGACTAGTTTCGTGAAGAAAAATCCTGATAATTTTTTTATTGTTACTTGGCCACATCTTAATGATCTTAAATCATAGGCGGCAAACCATAGACAATAGAACAGAGTACAATGAATTTAGCTTTTTGTGATATCTGTGAAAGGATAAATTATTGTGTGGACACCGGAATGTCTAAAGGCGAATCAAAACCAGTCACATCACCCGGTGTGTGATACACAATGGTATATAGCTGCGGTACACAGCAAACGGGTGACGTGGCGCGTTATGATTCGTTTTAATTCCAATTTTTTCAAGTTGTCCTATTAACTTGGATGATATTTAAATATGATTATCATTTTTTTGCTTCTTTATGATTGACATTAATCACGTTTGACTTGGAAGATTATGATATTTCCTGTTTTCAATAATAGAAATTAAAATCTCTCTACTTTTTTCCCTAAAATTAAGTTGATGTCGAGTAAAAAAATAACCATTTTTCGATTTTCAAATGATTTGAGCAGGTGTTTACCTTCCCTGTTGAATCCGGCGATGTCATCGTTGCCGGAACAGATGGATTATTCGACAATCTGTACAATACTGACATAAATGCCATTGTTGTTCATGCTGTGAGAGCCAGGCTTGGACCGCAGGTGACCGCTCAGAAAATAGCTGCACTTGCTCGCCAGCGAGCTCAAGACAAGAACAGGCAAACGCCATTTTCGACGGCCGCTCAGGATGCCGGATATCGCTACTATGGAGGCAAACTGGATGATATTACAGTCGTCGTCTCGTATGTCACTTTCAACACTGCTTGAGGCTATTTCTTTATTTTCCTTTTTTTTTTCTTTAAATTTTGTACAGCTTTTGTAGATAGAGTTAGAGGAGATCAGAGCATCAAAAGATATAGAACTTACAAACATAATTTGAAAAAAAGAGAATTTCCCTTTTATCTATATTTTATGTTTATGTTTGTAATTTCATTCTGACATCAGGATCAAGGAAAAATTATTCCGTGCGGTCACCGAACGGCATCCAGAGACGAATGAGAATGTTTCATGTCATTTTTTTGTTGCGTATTGCTCAATATTGGGTGACGTGGCATTCTGATTTGTCTCTGGACTGTTCGGTGACCGCACATAATAAGTTCTCTAGGACTACGGCTTCGTTTGTGACAATTTTTTTTTCTGCTTTTTAGTTAAAAAAAATTATTTCAAAAAAAAAATTATCCTAAAATAATTATTTAAAAAAGTGGTAAAAAAACTGTTCCAAAATGAAGCCTAGAAGTTGATTTGTAAAGTGATTATGCTTTCTTATGAATGTTTCCTTTATGATTTTATCTCCCTGCAAACTAAAGCCATTGGGTTCCTTCTTTTTATGAGTTAGGGTATTGAGTGTAAAATAAGGTAGATTTTAGAATTTGAAAATTTAGCCGTTTGAATGACTTAATTTGAATGCAAATAATTTTGAGAGAATTTGAAATCCGACCATTTTGAGCGAATTTTAACTGCACAATTTGGATAAAAATGGTGTAACATATTTAATCAAACAATTTAAAAGTATTTTTAATATGTTATTTTTAATTAACAGTATTTATTTTTACTTTCTAATAAAATCAAATAGCCCATTAAATGATTTCAAATTAAATTTGGATCAGCAGTCTGCTCCAACCCCATTGGATCGGTGATATTTGAGTTTTTAAAAATGCAACTATTAAAAACCCTGCAATGCATGTAGCGCATGAGAATACATTTTTAATTATTTACATTTAAAGGTTTTTTTAATTACAATTAATGATATATTGCTATCATTAGATATTATGAAATTTTGCAGCAGAAGTACTTTTTTAATTATTTTTTTTATAAAAAAAAACTTAGTACAACTTTTTTAATATAAAATATTTTTATGCTAAAAAAATAATAAAAAACTTATCCCCATGAAATCTAAAATCAACATTTAAAGACTATAAATGATAATGTAAAAGTACAATCAGAAAAAGAGCTATTAAAACAACTTAAAATACTACCTTTGCTATTCATTTATGACTAATTTAATTTTAAAATATCACAATTTTCTAATTTAAACTCTCAATTATATCAAATAGATCCCTTAAATTAAAAAAAATAATAATAACATAAGTTACAGTATAAAATTGACTCCAATTTTATCCTTCAATTATACAAAATATAAAAACCAAATTTGAAAAATATGACACTTTTCAGATTAAATTAATTGCACAAATAATCCCTTGATAGCAATAAATTGTATTTTCCCTTATTTGAGAATAGAAAATTGAACCAAGTACTGGCTCTTAAAAAATACCAAACCAAATAATTTCTTAGAGAGAACAACTACATTGTGCAGTTGAAGTTGGACTTCCCAACTGTTAAGACAACAACTTTGGAACACTTGATAGCTTGCTTGGTTACCAACCTACCTAAAACTTTATAATTTCTAACATAAATATCAGAGCTCTCTCCTCTCAAAACAAGATAACTAATCCCACATATTACATCTAAAATGGTTTATTAGGCTCTCATTATGTAAATATTACAAAAGTATATTGGTTAATTTGCAATCTTGATTCAGGAACTGCAAGGAAAAAATGGTGCAGAGGTTTCGCCGCCGGTTAGTTGTCGCGAACAAGCAGTCAAATTCACCTGGAACTGGGATCAGGATTGCCACCTGGGTGGTAAAGTTTTCCATTCATCTTGGTAGAGGTAGTAGTAGAGCTCAAAGGAATAGTGTCAATATGATCACCAACACCTTGTTTCAAAGTGCTAGATGATTCTTCTCGGATACTGCTAAGCTCATCCTGATCCAATAAGATCAAATTTTGTTAAATAATGCAAAAAACTAAGGCTCGGTTTGGGATAGCTTTTTTACTGTTTTTTAAAGCATCTTTTTATTTAAAAATTTTAAATTTTTATACTAAAAAGCTGTTTTAAGAAGCATTAAGAAATATGTCTCAAACGAAGCCTAAATTGTCTAAGACGGTTGATAGTTGGGAACAAAATAAAATGCAAAAATTAAGTTGTCTAAGGAGTTCTTACAAGCACTATTATTAGATAGATAACAAATTTAGAAGTGAAAAGGGAAAATAAGCTAACCGCTATGTGCTGATTTTCTGCTTCAAGGTCCCTACAAACTTTGTGAAGTTGCTCTAGCTCCATTCTAAGTGCACTGTTCTGACTGTTCAGCTCAGATACCTTCCTAGCCAGTTCATCGCATTCTTGCTGGTAAAAGAAAAGAAGAGTAGATCCGTTACATAGTAAAGATTAAGACTTTATTCCCACATAATCGAACGACAAACAGAAAACAGCTTGCAAAAAAGAAATATACCACATATCTTTAAGTAATAAATACCCCAAAATAGATGAGGGTATAAATATGCAAAAGTGCATGTTATATGATAAGCCTGTGTTCCAGCCTCACGCAAGCATACAACTAGGACATCTGGTCTGGCTTTTCGGAAAAGAAGACCTCTCTACTATTCCCATCAACCAAAAAGACTAACCTTAAATTACAAGTGAAGCAACCAGATATATAAGCCTCATATCGGAGAAATTATTCTGTGCGGAGTCCGGACGTCATCCAAAGATCAATAAAAATGTGTCATGTCATTCCAAAAGTGTACCATGCTCCATACCGAACGCGGTACCGAGCGCCGTTACCAGGCTCGGTACCAAGCAGTACCAGACGGTTCTCCCGTCCGGTGTCCGCACAGAATAATCTCTTCTCATATCTATGGACAATCCATTAATCTTTTAGAGGAAGCAAATGAACCCTCAAACCCTTTATATTCAAGCAACTGGTAGAAATGGTTTTGTGATAGGTAATACTTGAGTTCTCAAGTATTCCTAACCCAAACCAGTAAAATTACAGCAGCAAACTGCTGTCCCCAGCAGTAAAACAGCAGAAATTCAGCAAAAATACAGCAGGAAATAGGGAAACGGGAAGAAAAACACAAGATTATGCTTGTATTTCACTAGAAACCAACGAAAACAGCAAAGATACACTTTGTTCTTCAATCCGAGAGGAAGAACAACTCTCCAACGTTAATTTAGATTACGTTGTCATTCACTTTTAATTCTCTCAAGAAGCTCCTTCGCATGTTCGTTCTACATCATTATTATGTGCGGAGTCCGGACGTCGTCCAGAGACCAATAAAAATGTGTCATGTCATTCCAAAAGTGTACCACGCTCCATACCGAACGCGGTACCGAGCGCCGTTACCAGGCTCGGTACCAAGCAGTACCAGACGGTTCTCCCGTCCGGTGTCCGCACAGAATAATCTCTCCTCATATCTATGGACAATCCACTAATCTTTTAGAGGAAGCAAATGAACCCTCAAACCCTCTATATTCAAGCAACTGGTAGAAATGGTTTTGGTAGATAGAGCATATTGCATGCCGCAACTCTCATCTTAACAAAACACCACCTAACGCCAATAAAAATATAAAAAACCTGCACATAGAGTACAGTCCAAATAGCTTCGATAAAGAAAGTAGACATCCATCAATATCATCCATACAACCTTTTTGCAATATGTTTTAGGAGGACAAAACTTTTTGTAAAGATAATTGCAGACCTGCTGTGAGAAATCAACTTTTTAAAACGCTGTTGCGGGTATTATAACTTTTTTTGTTTCAGAAAAAAGAAAGAAGAAAAATGTATTAGCTACCACACCAAAGTCAAGAAGATTGCCATGGAGCTTGCTAAACAACATGACCATGTTTTTCCATAATCATATAGAACTGGAGATATTGAGATGATGATTTACAGAAAGGATCATTCAAAAGAGAGCTAAAAACAATATTCTAGTTCCTAAATTACATATTAAGATAAGGTAGGTACCCATTTAATTTCATATAATTGCAATTTTACTAGCAAATGCAGATAAAACCCCTTCATTTTCTTATAAATAAAACTTAAACATGGTTTACAATTTTCCTGAAAACAGATTGTTGATTATGTTTATCAAATTGAACCACTATCCCTATAAACCTAAATATCAAGATATTTTTTAATGGACTGAATCTTAAGGAAAAATCCACAAAAAATAAGTTGTGTATGCTTCCTTTGGTACTGGGATTTAAAAAAAAAAAATCCACACAAAATAAAGAAAAAAAAAGCTATTAAATGAAAAAAAAAAAAAAGACTTCTAATGAAATGCAGATGGTATGCCAAAGAGTCAATTAAATTCATGTACTCTGTATTAAGCAAGCATACATACTTCAAACGACATTTTTCACTGCAGCTTTTCAAGATTCAGGAGACGCTTACAAAGTGGCATGGGATTAAAGCCACCCAGTAGTTACCAAAATGCTTACCTTTGAGGCCATTGCATGCTGACTTTCTTTGAAAATTATGTTCTCCAAGATGAAACAAATAATTCCTAGGTAACGAGTTGTAAGGTGTCTTGAATACAATAATATGAAACTTTGAAATATTGATGCTTCTTTTGATGTAACGGGTGATGTTTTATAAGAAACTCCAAAGTTAGATGGTCTAATGGCCGAGCACTCTACAGAATGAGTCAGTTTCCTGAGTAGTTGTGACAACAGGATAAAAAGCGACTTGTTAAGCCAAAGCATACAAAATCTTAGACACAACACAAACTCTCAAATATTGAGATATTGTTTTTTTTTGGTCTAACACGTTGCGAAAATTTGTCATATTGGTGCAAATTCCTATAAACGACACCCACTTTACAAAACTTCAACTCAAACACAACTTCAAAGTTCTTGACCAAATTTAGACAATGACACCATAAGATGTTTTGATATTTAAGAGTTCTACTCTATATTCAAGAGATCTCACAAAATCCGTCAGTTAAGAAACTAACGTCTTAATACCTGTTCTTATACATAACACAAAATCACTTTACCATTCATATAGGATTTTAAAGGTGGCCTCTGCAAGTTTAAGATATGGCTTACGTCATAGACCATAATAACTTAAAGGGGTTCAAGAGGTAGCCCCAAAAGTAGAGCCCTCCATCATATATGACACTGAATTTCATGTTTCAAAAGGTGTATCGTTGATTCCTTTTGTCATAGCGGGAAATCTTAACCACCAACAACAACAACAACATCAAGCTTTGTCCCACTATGTGGGGTCAGCTACATGAATCCTTTTTCGCCATTTTGTCCGATTAAAAGTCAAATTCTCATTTAAATCTAATAAAGAAAGATCATTTCTAATATGTTCTAACCAAGTCTTTTTAGGTCTACCTCTTCCTTTCTTAACATAAGTCGAATCTAATACTTCAACTTTCCTAACCGGGTCATCAGAAGGCCTCTGTTTAATGTGATCAAACCATCTAAGGCGACTCTCTCTAATCTTATCTTCCACTAGAGCTGGAATTCATAACCATAGATATATTATTTATTTTGGCTTAACATGTCTCATACTTCTATTCTCTTATGCAACATAACTCATCTTAGAAAATCTCAGCATAAGTACGCTTCATTATAGAGCTCCTAACAAAACACCAATTATTGCACCAAAATATACATTGATGTTTCAAAGTTCAACTTAAACTATCTAAGAGATCTCATAAATTTAATTGGGATTGATTGTTCGACCATTTAAAATGTAGTAATGTGAAACTTTTAAGGGATTTTTACATACATAACACTTCAAACTTATATATTTACTTATCTAACACCCAAAGTATACTATTTACATACCTACCACCTAAATATACCACGTTTCATATAAAATACCACTCCGTCAGAACTCTGGCCCGACTCTGCCCTTTGCACGTGAAATTCCTTCTTCTTCGTCGTTGTCTCGCTGGAGTGTCTAGACGGCTTAGGAATCGAGACCCACCCGCTTCTATCTTCATTGATGCCATGGTAAGGCTTCATTGGCTTTCGCTGTAGCCATCGGTGGCTCGATCCAGTTCTCCGGTGGTGAAGAAGCGGAAGCTCGAAGGAGATATGTTGAGTTCTTTCACACGTTGCCAGAGGATTCGCCCGCCGTTCTCTTCGAAGAACTTGTCCTCGCCGCCCAGCATCCTTCAACCAACTTAATTCACGGGGAAGCTAATGCTCATGGATGAGAGGAGTTGGAAGAGGATGATGAAGATGACAGTAATGGAATGTAACAGCAGTTTTGTTCCTATCGTCCGGGCCGATCGTGGATCGTCCCGGGACGATCAGTTCAAATTTTGCTCCAGAATTGTACAGAAGTTACAGGAACGTTTTTCCTCCTAGGATCGTCCGGGCCGATAGGGGATCGTCCCGGGATGATCAGAGCATGGCACAAGTCAGAGAGTAGGGGTTTTTATCGTCCAAGAAAATTAATTATCGTCCTGAGAAATCGTCCTAGAACGATGCAAGTTTGTTCAGATCGTCCAGGACGATCGTGCGATCCGATCAGAAGGTTATTTAACTGAAATCAGCTCATTTTGAAGAGAGAGAAAATCAAAATTAAAATATCTGATTTTTTAGGAGAGAGAAAGTCGAGGGCAAAAGTGGAAAAGTTGATTTTTGGACAACGCCGGGCTGTTTTCGTCTGTCGAGACAGTTCAAGAAATTGGTGTACGCAAGGTAAGGCACATTCCGCCTTTCTCAATTTTCAGAACGGTGAAGTTTGAACGATTTTTCTGTCCGGATTTCGTTTTCGTTAACGAATTTCGTCCGTATTTTCCGATTGGTTCAGTTTTTACCGCGTAACTTTTGATATGTTTCTGAGGTGCCGAATGAGCACATTTTGATTATTTTCTGAAGAATTTTGACCGGATAGTTTTGATTCGGCGGTGTTTTCTTTCGACTGTAATTTCTGATGATGTCTAAATTTGTCTGGGTAGTAGAATGAAAGTCTTACAATGTTGTTGTGAATGTTCTGTGGTAATTTGGTAAATTTCTGATTCGTTGAATTTTGTGTAAATTCCGTATACTACCGTTATGCCGCTGAATTTTCGTACGATTTCTAAATTTTCTGAAATAAGATGATTTGAATATTTGATGTGTTTGTATGCTATCAGAAGGGAGTTATAAGGGGCCGGAATCCTATGTGATTCCGTTGTCTGGGTCCGGGAAGGGAGACATAAGGGGAAGTTCTGAAATCTAAAATTCTGTATATCTGTTCTGTTCTGGTGCTATAAGCACAAAAGGGAGGCTCTGAGGACTTGCAGATGAGAAGAACAATGTGATCAAATAAAAAAGCATCACACAAATTTTAGACAGAAAGAAAAGAGAAGGAATTGATTCTCCCACTTGCAAATTGTTGTTCCTCCTCACACAAATTTCACACATTTACCGCTGCTGTCGTCCATTGCCTTCTTCAGCAACCTCTTGTCGCGACTTCCTGCTCCGGTGGCGTCACAGATTTCAGGAATTTTGGGGCGGAAAAATGAAGATGTCTTCCTCTTCCCACGTCGCTGGATCGGGTAGACACTCCGGCGACGAAGAAGAAGAGATTTCACGAGCGAAAGGTAGAGTCGGGACGGAGTTCTGACGGAGTGGTATTTTAGATGAAACGGGATGTATTTAGGTGGTAGGTATGTAAATAGTATACTTTGGATGTTAGATAAGTAAATATAATAGTTTAAAGTGTTATGTATGTAAAAACCCCAACTTTTAAATACTAATGACATTTTTAGCTTACGATAGGTGTTTTGTCAAAAACCTCAAAAATTGGGTATTAAGAGTGGAAGTACTCCCCTAATATTGATGACCTTAGAAGTAGCACAAAGAGACAAAATCATGAGGCCCAAAGAAGAAAATCTCTTGATGGATGAAATTGGTTGACACGATCACATCAAACTTCAAAGGATTTTTTTATGCCACTTCTAGAACACAAAACTACTTTCACTCATTTATAAAATGGCTCTTGCAGTTTGCAAACTTCTAAAATACTCTATGATTTGATGCATCACAAATTCTAATAATTTTTTGAAGAGGATGATCCAACAAATTTAGTAAAGGCCTGAGATTTCAGTGACCGGCATAGTTTCCTCACTCAAGACTATAGTCATTGCCAAAAGTAAGCACCATTCACATTTGGAGGTTATCTTTTTGAAACCAAACCTAATGTTTATACAATTGAAACAGCTCCCAGTACTAGATAATTTTTCTCAAAGAATTCCCCCTCTCATTACTAAAAAGAGATGGCATCACATATATGCTTTTGTTTGTGGACAACTCTTGTTGTAAAGCAATAAAAAAACATTTTGTGTGCTAAACTCGAAATTCGTCATCCTTTCTCAATGGTTTATCCTTTTTCCAACTATTTAGGGTTTACTTGAAGAATCTACATTTTCCATTTGTTCTTAATTATTGCAAAATGAATGAATAAATATATTCTACCTTTTTTTTTTCTTAACTTCTATTCAAATTAAATTTGGTCAATCCTTTTCCCTTCATAATCACCTACCATCCATCCAAAAATCAGGAGAGAAAACCATTTTTGCAAACAACACAATGCATGCATAAATCACAACATTATTGATCCTAAGAAAATTCATACAGTAATTAAAGGAAATTGTTTGCTAATTTATTGTACATTTTCGAGTGCAACTCTAGTACAATGCTGAACAGTAAACTTAGCATTTACACATATATCACGCTTAAGCATTCAGTTATTACTGGAAGTTTTGTTGTATTTTCTACAAACCCCTCCATCCATCCACCTCATCACATTCCACACCTTGGCTGGAGCAAACACTGGTGTCAAGCCATCTACAGGAACTGGTTGGAACTTCCAGAAAGATTAATCTCAATTTAAAACTGTATTACTGGAAGTATTGTTGTATTTTCTACATAGCTCATTGCACTCATCTAATGTCTAGTAAATTTTCTAGTACATAGAACATATTCATGAAGTCAAGGCATAAGACTATACAGAAAAACTTGATAACCTTGTATGTTAGATTCAACCAATCTCCACAAAAAATCCAAAACTTCGGTCCTACCGTGCAGCAAGTGCTAACCAACTATTTCCTAAAATTACAGCAAAAGGACAACTTCATAAAATTACAATAAAACAGAATGCAATTAAATTAAAATGTCCTCATGCATGTCTAATTAACAAATTGACATTAGAAGTAATAATTTTCTCATCAATATTAACATTCTTTAGCATCCCTAACAGGTTAATAAATGCATATTGGAACCTGGGAAGAATCTCATGGAATGTTTAAAAGCCCAGCATACCTGCTTGCGCAATCTTGATCTTCTCGCAGACTCCCTATTAGATTGCTTCCTTCTCTCTCTCTTCAATTCTCGATCATCCTGTAAGGACAAACACATAAGGAAAATGTGAGAATAGAATAATAAACAACTCATGAAATAGCATAAATGTAAAAATAGGACCATGGATGCCCAGCAGCACCTGAGCCCATTGATTCTCAACCATCAAAACATTAGCTCCAGCTGCTGATGCAATTGTAGCATTAGGCCTAACCTTCAAAGGGGCAGGCCCAGTGTGAGGTGGATTCCATATGTCCATCCCAATATTCAAGTTAGTTGCAGGGCCAGGCAAGGCTGTTCTCCCAGGTGCAGAAACTGGAAGTTTTGGAGCCCGCTTCCTTGGGGTAGCAATAGCAGGATGTGAAGCTTCTCCTAATCAAATTTCAAGAATAAACTTTTGTGAATTTGAGCAATATATATATAACAAAAAAAAAGGAAGAAAAATCATAAGAAAACTCACCCTCTTGAAAAGCATCTCCACTAGATCTCTTTTTAGAATTTTCCTGAACAAAAAAATTTGTTAAGAAAAAAGATACATAAAGTTGTTCCATAATAATGTAAGCTATCCATAATCCATACATGCTAGAAAGACTAATGAAATGATAGGTCAACACCAAGCTCAACTTTTTACTGATTGTTGACATTATTGTTGGCTGTTCGTGGGTTAACCTGAGCCCATGTTTTTTGTTTTTTTAAATTAACTGTGGATATGTTTGGGAAGGCTTTCTTACTGCTTCTTAAAGTAATTTTCTAGTACAAAAAATTTAATTTTTGTGCTTGAAAACTGTTTTAAGAAGCAGTAAGAAAGTCGTCCCAAACAAAACCTATAGCTCCTGTTTGGTTAATTTTGTCTTCTTTTGTATTTTGGAGCTACTTTTGACTGCTGGGCTCATGTAATTTTTGTTATATGAATCTCAATTTCCCCACAAAGACATGGTGCACATAAATACAGTAATTATTAGGAATTTAAAAAAGGTAAAAACTTTTCGTCTACTTGGTGCAAATACTTGAACCAAGGGAAAATAATGCAACACAGATCAATGTTTATAAATTTTATCTCTGCGACTAACAAAACTGTACAAAAATAAAACGCTACAACCAAAAAGAAACCAAAACAGAAACTAAAGATACCAATAAATCATAAAAGTACCTGCGGGTCAGCGCTCTCATTCCCAGTATCAGAAGAGCCCTCTGTTGCACTGCCACCGCTGCTCCTATTCCAGATAAAACCAATCAAAAATTCAGAAAATCAACAAAACACAATCCCCAGCCAATATCAGAGAAACGAAGTCCTCAAAAGAACAAAGCCCCATATTGCTCATACCTCTGCGAATTTTCCTCCTCCCCTGAGCCCGATCCCGCCTTCCCTCCTTCCCCAAACTTCAACAGAGCCCCCTTTGACTTGATGTTCCCGGAATCTGCATTTGGGTAGCCCATGCCCTGTAAAATTAAGCCGAAATATATCACACCCAAATCTTCTCACAGACGCTACCAACACACTACCTATCTACCATAACTACCGGAGTCATGGAGGGATGAGCATAGACTGCACCAGGAGCGTACATCGGCGAGTAGGCGATAGGCGTAGCATAAGGAGACATAATATGCTGCAAATGAAACGGGGAAAGGCTCAGTTGTCACTTAATTCAAAGAAAAGTTTCGAATTGGAGCATCGCAAGTCGATCGAGATCAAGCAACCTGACCACCCCAAACCGGCGGGAAGAAGGCCGTTGGAGCCGCTGCGTTTCCGCTATAATAGGCCTGCAACGAGGCAGCCCATTCAGCGGTGTACGCCGGCGGAGGCGTCGTGGCGGCGGTAAAAGGAGTCGAATTTGGGGGCTTCGCCGGCGTCGAAGTCTCCCCCGGCGATCCCATCGTCGGGGCTTTGGATTTTACTTCAGCGAAGATGGTTCAGAGTACGGGAAATCGAAATTTTGTCGCTAGGGTTTCGGTATGCCACGATAGAAAGTCTGCTTGCTCTGATTGCATATATTTATAATTTTATATATAAGCAACGGTAGATTTTTTATTCTAAAAATAAAAAGTTTATACTTAAATTTAAAATATAAATATTAAATAAAAAAAATAAATATTTAGTTTGAAAATCCAAATTATTATTTTCGAATATTGGATCTCAGTGTTAAATTATTTTTTTCCGAATATGTTTTGAAATATGAAGACTTCTAGAAAAAATATATATATAGTGATGCATAATTAATAGAATATAAAAGAATTAAATATATATATAGAATTTAAAAGAAGAATTCATAAGAGTAAGGAGTATTTGATAAGGAAATTTATAGATCCATCCAAAATATTGCATGATCGAGAGGTTTGATGTTGTGCTTTGATGTTGTGCTTGTGAGCATTGCACAATAGGTTTGAGAGCACAGCGACGTCAAAAATTATCGTTGTCGCGTTTGAGTCCCTATTTCTATAGTAATTTTGAATTTTACATGCAACACTGCAATGCTAAATCTGAGCGCTACGATGCTAAGCCACTAAAAATATTTATATATAAATTCTATGTCATTTCACCCAAGCATCTCCCTCATTCGTGTCTTGGCTAGGAAGAAATCGAAGGAGAAGAAAGAGGAAAAAAGAGGATGAGAGAGAAATTTTATTGGGGCGTTTTAGTTCGTCACTTCTTTTATGAAAATTATTTTATTCATAGTAAGTAGTTATCCTGTAGGGCTGTCAATATTTGACACGGTCCAAAAACCCGACTCGAACCAGACCAAAAAATTTCGGGTTAGAGTAAACCCGGACCCAAAACAGGTCGGGTTTGGGTTCAGGTTTGCGACCCATATGAAATTTCAGGTCAGGTTCGGGTCAACCCAGGAAACCTGAAATTCACCTGGTTCGACACGATTTGGAAACTGGCCCATCGCGCGCACTATTTAGTATTTACGTAAATCATAATTACAAATTTATGATTATAGCCTTAGGGGATTTAAGCATAGTGCATTATCGTATTCGACATTACGTTAAGTCAAAATAGCGATCGTTTGCAGGGAAAGTCCAAGGCTCCAAGCTAGGGCTGCTCACCTGCTCTTTTTCATGGAGATTCCTGCATTCTTCTCGGTCATTTTCAGCTTTTCTCCTCCTCTACGTCCTCGACTCATTGTCTCATCGTTATTTATCACTTAGTTTATCTTAAATCTTGTGGGTGTTAACATTCTTACAATTTCCTTTATGACGTATGAGTCTTGCATTTTTTTTTTTTTTTGTTACTAAGTCACTGTTATAGTGTTAGTTTTGAGTTATTTTGTTCTTCCTTCCAATTTGATGTTGCAGTGGCTTTAAAATACCGATTAGGGCATCACATTTTGCGCATTTTTCTGTTCGTTTTTTAGAGATTTTGATCTTATGATGCTGTTATAATCTTATTATGAAGTTATAATCATATTTGTGCTTTGAAATGCCGATGGATTTTGAAATGCCGCTTAGCCTTAGGGTTTTGAAAATTGAAATGCTGAGTTATTGACTTGTTGTTACCAATTGGCGTGGCTATCTTTGGTTCTCTGTTATAGCAATATCTATTATTTTGCTTGATTAAACTTTGATACCTATTATGAGATATTGGAATTCTCTGTTGGTAGTCGGTTATATGTAATTGTATGTTCAGTCTGTTGGCAGTTTGCCCAGATTTTTTTATATGTTGTTGGCATATGACTATCTGATTCTCTGTTCACTAGCAAAAAATCTAGTTGCTTGGATATATAATTTTTTAGGTGCTTTTTTAGTTTTTATTTGTATAATAATTGTGTCAATAGATGGAGGATTCAAACACAATTCCTAATATTTATATAAAAAATAAGAAAGTTCGCATTGAGTACAATGTGATGATGGTTCAGTCGTAATTAAGAAGCGTAGAAGGATGACTTCCAAGATTTGGGTTCATTTTGAGATGTTAGTTAATCCTACATATGATAAAAAAAATGTGTAAATGTAAAAGATGTGGTGTTTAATACTTATGTGATAGTAAAAATGGAACCGCTAACTTAAGGAGACACTGCAAAATTACAAGAAAAGAGATATATGTCATATAGGCCAGCTCATATTGTAAACTGGTTCTAATACATTTATTTCTATGATTGATCATAAGTTTGTCAACGTAGAATTTCATGATTTATTTACTGCTTACATAATTATTAATGATTCACCCTTCCAATGTGTTGAATGGTTGGAGGTTCAAGCATTATGACATATCTTCATCATAATGTTCAACTGTTTTCTATGAATGATTGTAAGAAATTATTCACTAAAGAGCTTTGTAATATTTGTTCGACATTATGTAAGCGCACTAGTAGAGTTTGTGTTACATCTGACCTATGGACATCCATAAACACCGATGGATTTATTTGCAGCTTGACCATGCATTATATTGATATTGAGTGATATTTAAATTTAAAAAAATCATTAGTTTTTCTTTTATGCCATCACCTTATGATGGGAGAACACTCTTTGAGAAACTGCAGTCTCTTTTTTCTTAAATGGAAAATAAAATCTAAACTTTTTAGTATTACCTTAGACAATGCTTCCGCAAACAATATATGTGTTGACTACACGATAAATCAGCTAAATTTGAGAAGAGCTCTATTATGTGAAGGTCAGTTTTTTCATATTAAATGTAATGCTCATATTGTTAATCTTATTGTTCATGAGGGAATCAAGGAGATTGATGGTTCAATCTCAAAAATCAGAGAAAGCATAAAATACGTCAAGGGGTCTCAGGCAAGGAAATAAAAATTTTTAGATTGTATGAAATAGAGTTGTTTGAAATCAAAAGAGGCTTAAGGCAAGATGTTCCAACAAGGTGGAAATCCACTTTCATGATGTTAGAAAGTGCTCTCTATTACCGCAGGGCTTTCCAACATTTACAGTTGGGTGACTCCGTCTACACAACATGTCCAATAAATTCAAAATGGGAGAGAGTAGAGAAAATTTCAACTTTATTGAGACCTTTCTATGATATAATGTGTGTTATATCTGACACAAAGTATCCAACAACAAATTTGTACTTTCCACAGCTTATGCTGCATTGAAACATGAATTAACAGAGGGTCATGATTATATAAAGCAAATGTTTAGAATGACGATTGGAAAGTTTGAAAAGTATTGGTATGATTTTAGTATCATTCATGCAATAACAAATATTCTTTATCCGAGATATAAGTTCACATTTGTTGAATGATGCTACAAGAGGTCTTATATGGGTGATTATGTGTTTGAGATCGAGAAGGTGAAGGATAGTTTGTTCTCATTATTCTCAAATTATACAAGTAATAGTGTCAATGTTCCAATAAATGTTAGTGAAAAATGACATACTGAATGCACAAGCCGTTCTTCTTCCACTGTAATTCAATCCCAATTTCTTGAGGTATAAATTTTCAATTATCACATTCCAAAATAGGATTTTGATTCCTTTGAGGAGTAGGTCAAAATGTCAAAGAAGTCAGAATTGGAGATGTATCTTAATTAACCAAAAATATATTGGAAAATTGAGCTAGATATCCTACATTTTTGGAAAGGCAATCAATATAGATTTTCCGAGGTTTCTGTAAAGGCTAATGATATTTTGTGTATTCCCATAACAACAGTTTCCTCTGAAAGAGGTTTTAGTAATAGTGGGAGAATTCTCGATCATTATCAGAGTGCACTAAAACATGATATCATTGAGGCTTTGGTCTGTGCCAAGGATTGGTTTTATGGGAACAATGGTGCAATATTTTTTAACTTTTACTTATATAAGTGCAATATGATTAGATTCTTTAGTAATGAAGATGTAAATTCTCATAAATATATTATTATTTATTGTAGTTACACATGATCCTGAACTTGAAGTTGTGACTGAAGATATCCTTACTTTAATAGTAAATCAACTTGAGGGAGAAGCTGGGGAAAGTTCTGTTATATGAAAATTAAAACTTTGAGGCATTACATATGTGTTAAGGGTTATGAACAATTAAGTGTTAACTGTTAAGTGGATGTTAGCCTGATTATTACATGGCTGTTTATTGTTATGACTTAAGAACAATTTATTTATTTGGTTGTTTAGTTTCGGGTAGCCTGATGGCTGCTGCTGCTTCTGATCTAATGTATGTGCAACATGTGCTGCTTCATTGCTTATTTTTTATTCATTTCATGTTTTCGAGTAGGTTGTTGCTTCTTCAGTTCTTTTGATTCATTTGATTTGTGTTGTTTTGACTTTTGAGGAAAGGCTTATTTGGTTGTTTGGTTTCGGGTAGCCCGTGTTTCTTCTGATTTGTTTGATGTCTATACTTCTTTTGATTCATTTGATATGCCATATCTATGAAGGAAAGTCATATATTATATATGTTTGTTGTTTTCACTTTTGAGGAAAAGTCATATATTATTTGAATATTTATTGTTGTCTGAAGTGATGAAGCGATGGTGATCAACTTTCTCAAATTATTGTGGAAATAATTTCAAAATAAATGCTATTACAACCAGGAGATATTTGTAATTTTATATGTTAATAAAATGAGCAGATACTACATATATAAATGAATATATACTAACTTAATAGTTAATACAAAGTACAATTTGTATTCTTGGATGGTAATTATGCTAAATTGCTAATGTTGATTGAACTTACACCTCATTAGGTGATTACAGATTTGAAAGGTTTAATAGGAGCATCATATTGAAGGTTTATAAATATCTAACTTGTTTTATTACAGTTGATTCTATGCCATGCTTGAAGACAGATGCTAAACTACTAGAGCCTACAGGAGCATTTCAACTTTCAAGAAGACATAAACAATTAGTTTCTAAATATTGTAATTTTGCAAATGATCAAATGATATGTAAAATGTAAATGTACTTGTTGTTCATTGTTTAATCTGTTGATTGAACTACCACTCTACCTGCTGTAATTATTAATTGTTCATAAATTAATTAAATTATGTATATTTTATTTTTAATTAAATAAAAAAAAACCGATTTTAGTTTTTTTCAGGTCATACAAGTCGGGGAGGCTTAGGGCAAAGGATTCCTCATCCTCCTTTCTTCATCGAACAGTGAATACGCAGGTATTGTTTTTCGCTTTCCAGCCAGCTCTACATTCCATATAGCACCTTGTAGCAAGCTGAAGAATACTGGAGAGATCGCCTTTATGGGAAATTTGTATTCATTTTGTTTCCAAACAAAATATTTACATGGGAAATAAAGAAGTTCTTCGGATTTCATTGATGTCCATTTAATATTGGTAAAAAAAAGGATTGTTAAAGCGCATAACACATTCAGTACGCAGCACTTTTTTGGCTTGATTTATGGACTGTTATTATTATTATTATTATTATTATTATTATTATTTTGGCTAGCGTATTAGTGCAAGAACTAGTGTGTATGAAATAACTACAACATTCAAGTTCGATCGAAAAGGAAATAAAATAAGTCTTCATTTAGGTCTAGTTTATTTGTGTATGACATGAAAATGATGAGGGTGATGAGAAAGTTAAAAATTTAGCAGATGATATTAATGAGAAATGTTAGACTATTTTGTTGTATGATAATGGTGATGATTCTCTGGATGACTAGTGCATGTTTTAATGATTATGAGATTTATAAGCAAATCACTTATTACTCCTTAAGCCTTAAATATCAGGAAATTGTCCTCTTGAGATGGTTGATTTTTGGATTCGTCTGTATTTTCTTAAAATAATGTCGTGTTAGAGCAATTCTATGCTCTATTTTGTAGCATTGGTTGTGTGTTTTTTAAGGTTATTTTCTCTTTATATTGTTGATATTTTAATAAATTATTTCTTTTTTATAATTTATGCTATTTTTAAAATAGCAGACACTATGCAATATACTATAGCTCCCTGTCACTCTTGCTTTTAAAGAGCATTATTCGCTATTGAAAAGTATGTGATCGATAACATGTAATTACTGTTGCTGAATCTTCAGCACTCTCTAGTTACAAAGACTTGAGCTTCATTACGACAATTTATTGAATACTTTTTTGGTATGAAAAATAGCCAATAAAAAGCAATGTCTTTTTGGATGGTAACTTTTTCAATATTTTCCAAAATTTTGAGTTAGCAAAACTGTTTTTGGGAGAATATAATAGAAATTATAGTTAAGAAAGTAGATTTTAATAATAAAAGAAGAAAAAGCATATGCCTTCCCAAGCTGTTTTTCATAGATTTTGGATGCTACTGGAGAGAGAGAGATGGATTGCTTTTTGCTATAGTTTTGACTAAGTGAAGTCCATTCGATGGAAAATTCATCCTTAAGAAGAAGAAGAGATGAGGGACATCCATCTCAAGAGAGAAGAGAAGAATGGAGTACTAACCCTTGAAGAGAATGAAGGGCAAGAAAAACACAGTATACATTATCATCAGTAGAAGCTTCTCATCTTAAATCCTTTTATGATGCACTCAAGTAGGTCTAGGAAAGATATCTGGAAGTTTGGTGGTATTAAGGCAAACTGAAGGAATGGCTGATAGACTTATGCTGGAATAAATATCAAGCAGTGATTGGCCAAATCGAGCATACATGTTCATCTTATATAATTTTTTTTTTTAATTCCATCCATGCATGCATGGCTTACTTGCTTTAGAGTTTTGGTTGATTCATTTAGAAAGGTATGAACAGGTTCATTACAAAAAAATTTGAAAATGAAAATATGGAAAGATTTGAAACACTAACCCTAGACAGATTTAGCGTTCTTATTTTGAGAAGATTACATGATTTCCTTATTGAAGATTGGAAGGTGGAAATGTAGAAAGAATGAGGTGATTGAGAAAATTGTGGAGGCAGTTCCTTTCCAAAGTTGTTGGGGCCATGCGGAAGCTGGCTCTGGCTTAGGCCTTGGAACTTAGGCTCAACGGAATAGGAGGTTGAAATGTAACTGAAAACATGAAAGTAAGATAAAAAACTATAATATTAAGTCAAGAAATCAGTAGTAGTACGAAAGTTGAGCAATAGCTGTAAGAAATGACAGAGAGCTGAAAAACATTTATTTTTTTCAGATTTACAAGTGCGGAAGCTGGCTCTGGCTTAGGCCTTGGAACTTAGGCTCAACGGAATAGGAGGTTGAAATGTAACTGAAAACATGAAAGTAAGATAAAAAACTATAATATTAAGTCAAGAAATCAGTAGTAGTACGAAAGTTGAGCAATAGCTGTAAGAAATGACAGAGAGCTGAAAAACATTTATTTTTTTCAGATTTACAAGTGTTGCGTCCAGGAGTATTCGCGGCGGTAGAGAAATATTTAGTTTAACGTCTTAGCGTTGTACGAAAATCCGGCACGCAATCAGATAAGAAGAGAGGGTCTAGCATTTATGAGACACCAAGATTTTTACGTGAAAAACCCCTGTAAAAGGGGGAAAAACCACGGGGCCTAGCCCAGTTTGAACGAATCCACTAGTATTTGCA